ACAATGTGACTGAAACATGTTTAGAATAACTGCATAACTTTTAACTGTGGGAGGAAACCAAAGTACCCAGAGAGAACCCACTGCAAACTACCTCGATTGTGGATTGTCAATCCAGACTTAACAAAGCAGGAATTTCCTTTTTTTGAGTGCAGTGGTTCTCTAAGACTTTGCATGCTCTCACTGTGTCAATAAGAATTTGTTCTGGGCCCTGCATTTACCTTGTACAGCCCAAAGACATATGTTAGGTTCATTAGTGATGTGAGGTAGACAAATGTTTAAAATGTGGCTTGTAGCACTTGAAGATGTCAGTATGAGCTGTATGAATGTTGTTCTCTTCCAGAAAATTGCTAAAAATCAAACTAATTATTATTATTATTGTTATTATTATGTTAATGGTCAGTTAAATAGCATAGGGGTTTGTTAATTAGTTTAATATTTCTTTGGTGGTAATGAAATTAACAACAGGTCTACTAGCGGGCAAACAATAAAGCAACTACCAAAAGTTTTTTTTTCTCTTTTCATCTTTCTTACTAGATTTGCATTTGGCTCGGCTCAGTGTCACTACTGGTAGCGTTAGGTAATATCTGCACACAACAGTTGTTCAGCTTTTCCAGTATGGCACATCAATACTTGGCATTGACAGAAGGTTTGCTGTGAGATGACAGGACTTGAAAAGCTGGACAGGGCTTTAAACCACCAGCAGGATCAATATCTGTTGGTCCAAGAGGAGAGTGTGTGCAAAAAGGGTGTAGCTATTGCAGTAAACAGTGTGTTAAGTGGATGAATTGTACAGGGAGATGGCCACAGACAGGAAGGATTTCCTATGTCGTTCAGTGGTGCTTTTTGGTACTCTCAGTTTCTCACTGAACATGCTCCTGTGACTGACCAGCATGTCATGGAGTGGGTGGGAAGTATTATCCAACATTGTCTTTATTTTGGACAACATCCGCCTCTCCGACACCACCTTAAGGGACTCCAGCTCCATCTCCACAACATTACTGGCCTTACGGATCAGTTTAGAGTCTGTTAGCATCAGCGACCCTCAGCCTGCTCCCCCAGCATACAACAGCATAGAGGATTGCACTGGCCACAACAGACTCGTAGAAAATCCTGAGCATTGTTCGGCAGATGTTGAAGGACCTCGGTCGCCTCAAAAAATAGAGACTCTGGCCCTTCCTGTAAAGTGCTGTGGTGTTTTTCACCCAGTCCAGTTTATTGTCAATGTATACTCCAAGGTATTT